TATTAATTATTAATTATTTTTAATAATTAAATTAAAATAAAAATTTAACCATTTTTAATAACCTTAGCAAAAGTTACTGTAGCCGACCTAGGTAAGCTTCAATGGTTCGTTTTTGGGTTTTGATCTACCAAGAGATTTTCATTCAACACTTCTCCACTTTTGGACCTTAACCATCCAACAGTGAATTCTTTTGGTTTTCGTGGACCCATGAAGCCCAACAGGCCTGTTCAAGAAAAACATACATAAACGTTAATCCACACCACAAGTGTTGACGTTTCGGGCTTGAAGCATGAACAACAGGCCTTGGCCCACATCTCTGGATATTATGAATTTCTAGTGTACGTGGCAGCTTCTTAGTCCCTGGTTCTAAACGTCGTCGTCTACAACCCCAAACCCAGTAATTTGTTATCATCCATTCAATGCTCAAATTTTCCGATCCCGCAAAATTCTAACATCTCAACCTTTCCCCCTAATAATTCTCAATTATTCAATTTCATCCTAAGCAGAAGCCAAACCGTGGGGTGCTAAGAAACTCCTGGTTCTCCTTTATCCCTAACCATAATAAAGTCCAAAGCCAATAGCAGAGAAGAGAAACAGGGCCACACGCATAACAAAGAGATAAAAGAAAATGGCAGTCGAGAGTATAGCACTGAGAATTACGCCCTCCTCTCCTGCAGTGTGCAATCTCAATGGCTTTCGAAGGAGGCCTATCCTCTCCTCTTCTCCAACTCGCTTTCTGGGTGTCCCTCCTCGATCTTCTTCTTCCTCAATTTCATCTTCTCTATCTCATTGCCTTGGAAACGTGGGTATTGGCTCAAGGCTCGCCATTCCTCGTCACGAACAACACGGCAAGAGAAGAAACTTCTCTGTTTTTGCTATGGCTGATGGTACCCATCTTCTTTCTCTGCTTCGTTCAGATGTTTTTGTTTGAGTTCAGTAATTTGAGTTGTTTGTTTTATGAAGTGATACAGTCTGCCGTTTACTTTGATGATCGATTTCGAGGTTTTCTGTGTTCATTTATGTCTTTTATCTGTTCTTAATTTGAAATTCGAAAAAAGTTTTATGCTTTGCTCATTTTAAGCAGCATAGCTCATTGCACACTCACCGGCTGTCAAAATTCTAATTTATGAATGGCAGTGGATATAACTGTTCATGCTTTCTTCATTAAAATATAAAGAACTTGAGTACACATGGAAGTGAATTATATCATCTGTGTGAAAAACTGCACGGTTTGGGAGAGTGTTAGCTACAATAATGCAACAAAAGTTCCCAAATTTACTCTTTTGAAACTTGAAGGCATTTGTGGATGGTTAATCAGACTGTCTGCTTGGAAAAAATGGTTACACGGTATTAAGTTAAAAATACTTGCAGGTGTCAGCACAATCTTGCTTTTCCATTATGCCAAAACTCATGTTATCTATTAGATTTCGATATATTAGTTCAAGTTTTATGCTTTCTTATTGTGTTTGGATGTTATCCATTACTTTACAGGTTAAGTGCATGTTATCAAGATACCATTTATGTTAGTGATGTTAGTTGTTGACACCACATGGATGAGTCCATGCTAGGGGAACAAATACTTTATAGTATGCCAATTTTGGGTTACATGGTTATGGAAAATATGTGAACTTCCATGGGAAAAGGGATATTATTATCCATAAACTGTAGAGATGATGGTAACTATGTGTGTTTTTTTTATTGATATTAGGGTACTTCTATTGCTGGTTCTCTGGTATTCTGAGACTGAGATGGATGTTTTTTTGGTTGCATTGCAGAGGCAAAGCGTGCAGTTCCATTAAATGATTATCGCAATATTGGAATTATGGCTCACATAGATGCGGGAAAGACTACTACAACTGAACGAATTTTGTACTACACAGGAAGAAACTATAAGATTGGTGAGGTGCATGAGGGAACGGCCACAATGGACTGGATGGAGCAGGAACAAGAAAGAGGGATTACCATAACATCTGCTGCAACTACAACTTTTTGGAACAAACATAGGATTAATATTATCGATACCCCAGGCCATGTTGATTTCACCCTTGAAGTGGAGCGTGCGCTAAGGGTTTTGGATGGAGCGATATGCTTGTTTGACAGTGTTGCTGGTGTAGAACCACAATCTGAAACAGTGTGGAGGCAAGCTGATAAATATGGAGTACCCAGAATTTGCTTTGTTAATAAGATGGACCGTCTAGGAGCAAATTTCTTCCGCACCAGAGACATGATAGTTACAAACTTGGGAGCTAAACCACTGGTGATTCAATTACCAATTGGTTCAGAAGATAATTTTCAAGGAGTGGTTGATCTTGTGAAGATGAAAGCAGTGATTTGGTCAGGGGAAGAGCTGGGTGCAAAGTTTGTATATCAGGAAATTCCAGCTGATCTTCAAGAATTAGCTCAAGAATATCACTCACAGATGATAGAAACCATTGTTGAATTAGATGATAAAGCTATGGAGAACTATCTGGAAGGAATTGAGCCTGATGAGGAAACAATTAAAAAATTAATTAGGAAGGGTACCATTGCAGGCAATTTTGTGCCAGTGTTATGCGGGTCAGCATTCAAAAACAAGGGGGTTCAGCCATTACTTGATGCTGTTGTGGACTATTTGCCTTCGCCCCTGGATTTGCCAGCAATGAAGGGAAGTGATCCTGACAACCCCGAAGCAATAATTGAAAGGGCAGCTAGCGATGATGAACCGTTTGCTGGACTTGCTTTCAAGATCATGAGTGATCCATTTGTGGGTTCCCTTACATTTGTGAGAATTTATGCTGGGAAGCTTCTTGCAGGTTCTTACGTGCTGAATTCAAACAAAGGAAAGAAAGAGAGAATTGGTAGACTTCTGGAAATGCATGCCAACAGTAGAGAGGATATTAAGGTGGCTTTAGCAGGCGATATTGTTGCTCTTGCTGGTCTGAAAGATACCATTACAGGTGAGACTCTCTGTGACCCTGACCAACCCGTAATGCTTGAACGGATGGACTTCCCTGATCCTGTAATTAAGGTTGCAATTGAACCCAAGACCAAAGCCGATGTCGATAAGATGGGAACTGGGTTGATCAAGCTTGCTCAAGAAGATCCTTCTTTCCACTTCTCCCGGGATGAAGAGACCAATCAGACAGTGATTGAAGGAATGGGAGAATTGCATCTTGAGATTATTGTTGATCGTCTTAAGAGGGAATTCAAGGTATATTTGAGCCTCCTATATACTTGATTGTCAAATCTATTGTGATACTCATGTCAATTCTATCCTTTGGCTTGTACTCTTTTTATGATATATATTAGTAGTTTAGACATACAGCACTAATTTGCATGTGAATATATGCTAAGTCCACCCTTGCTAACATACATATGTTTAATCTTTTATTGTGCATTGTTTTTTTTTTTTTTTTCTGCATTATCAGAAGAGACAGAGGGAGAATGCAATATAATTGTCAAGTAGAAATCAATACCATGCAAATTGTGCTGAAAGAGAATCAACTCCTCCCTGTCCAAGCTTTTGCAAGTTATTTGTTTGACTTCTGTCATAATATTGGCTGCTTGATGCATACAGGTAGAAGCTGATGTTGGTGCACCACAAGTAAACTACCGTGAAAGCATTTCTAAAGTCTCTGAAGTGAAGTATGTTCACAAGAAACAGTCCGGTGGACAAGGACAGTTTGCTGATATCACTGTACGCTTTGAGCCCATGGAGGCAGGTAGTGGGTATGAATTCAAGAGTGAGATCAAGGGAGGTGCAGTGCCTAAGGAATACATTCCTGGAGTGATGAAAGGACTGGAGGAGTGCATGAGCAATGGTGTTCTTGCTGGTTTTCCTGTTGTGGACGTGCGTGCTGTTCTTGTAGATGGTTCTTACCATGATGTCGATTCTAGTGTCTTGGCTTTTCAGCTGGCAGCTAGGGGAGCTTTTCGTGATGGGATAAGAAAAGCTGGTCCTAAAATGCTGGAACCTATCATGAAAGTTGAAGTAGTCACACCTGAAGAACACTTAGGAGATGTAATTGGTGATCTCAACTCAAGGAGAGGCCAAATTAACAGCTTTGGTGACAAACCTGGGGGGCTAAAGGTACGTTTACTACCATGAATCTCAAATTCTTGGGAATCAGTGATAAAGGTTTAGTTGTCCAAATATGCAGTTAGGTACCGTATGAGAAGATGTCACTGCAAACTCTCATTTTATCTATTCTTGTTTGGTGTGTTGCAGGTAGTTGATGCCCTTGTTCCGCTGGCTGAGATGTTTCAGTATGTTAGCACTCTCCGTGGAATGACAAAGGGCCGTGCATCCTACACCATGCAACTAGCCAAGTTTGATATCGTCCCTCAACACATCCAGAACCAACTTGCCTCCAAAGAGGAAGAAGTTGCAGCCTGATTTTGTTTCCCAGGATCCAAGAAGGGGAACCTGGAATCCCTCATTTTTTTTTTTATTCCTTTTTCCTCCTTGCAAATGAAATTGTTCTGTTTTGGACACAAGCTCTTGAATGCACTCATGTTGGGAAATAGCTGAGACAGGATAAGTTCTGTACCGATGTAAAGAAATTATTAATATTTGCAAATTGGCAATGCTATGGTATTGTTACAAAATTACCTAATTGTAAGTTTATAACTATTATATAATATTAAATAAATATGATATAACATTAAAAGAATAAATATATATAGTATTATAAATAAAATTTTAAAGAAAAATAATTAATTATATAACGGTATAGCATATTATAAATGTATAATATTATTTTTTTAATCTAAAAGTAATTGAATTCATTAACTTTTCTAAGCTTAAAATTATTTATTAATTTCCTTTTTAGTTTAAAAAAATTGGAAGGAAAGGCACTTGATTTGGTGGCTTGATAACTATATATCATAATATAAGATGTATTCTTTAACCTTAGAGATGTAATTCAAATTCTCTTTTCTTAAAATTGTAATATGTTCAAATAAAAAAATTGAAAGAAAACGGGAAGGAATGAAAAAGGATTTTACAATTTAAACTAATTCAAATTATAAAATATTAATTATTTAATTAAAATTACATATTCTCTTTATTTTATAATTTAGAGCAATTTAAACCGTAAAATAAAATTTTTAAAAAGAAATTAAGAAAAGCAAAAGAAAAAAAAAACGAGGTCAAGATGGTCAATTTAGAAAAGTCTTCATTAAGCCGCTTAGCCAAACAGTGTTATGGAGAGTTCGAGAGTCGAGTCGAGTCGAGTCGGGACGTTAATGAGCCTGTAACCAAACAGCCTCCAATCACATGCTACAGAATCTTCCAGAAGCACCAGAAGTCTCTGGGTCGCGGCCACTCCTCTTTCACTTCTCTTTTTATATAACTTTCTCTGGCGATACGCAAAGTCCGCCGTGCTGTACCTTCCGTCGGCAGAAGTTTCTACTCTATGGCCGAAGAAGCAAAAGCCAAGGGTAACGCCGCCTTCTCCTCTGGCGACTTTCAGGCCGCTATCCGCCACTTCACAGAAGCAATCAACCTTGCCCCTACGAACCATGTTCTCTACTCCAATCGATCCGCTGCCTATGCCTCCCTCAATCAATTTGAATCTGCGTTAACGGATGCCAAGAAGACCGTCGAACTCAAGCCCGACTGGTCCAAGGGCTACAGCCGGCTTGGCGCCGCTCACCTCGGCTTGCACCAGTACCAAGACGCTATTTCGGCGTACAAGAAGGGCCTCGAGATCGATCCCAGCAATGAAGCTTTGAAGTCTGGCTTGGCTGATGCCCAAGCCGCGTCGTCGCGAGCTAGAGCGGTGCCACCGCCAAACCCGTTCGGGGATGCTTTTCAGGGGCCTGAGATGTGGGCGAAATTGACCGCGGATCCATCGACCAGGGCCTTTTTGCAGCAGCCTGATTTTGTGAAGGCTATGCAGGAGATACAGAAGAACCCCAGCAAATTGAATGAGCATTTGAAGGATCAGAGAGTGATGCAAGCATTGGGCGTTCTGTTAAATGTGAAGTTCAAGGCGCATCCAGGCACCAGTGAAGACACGGATTTGCCCGAGGCGGAGGCACCCCCTCCTCAGCCTCCTAAGGAGGAGTCTAGAAGGCCAGAGCCGAAGCCAGAGCCGGAAGCAATGGAGCTGACAGAAGAGGAGAAAGATAAGAAAGAGAGGAAAGAGAAAGCACAGAAGGAGAAGGATGCAGGAAACGCAGCGTATAAGAAGAAGGATTTCGAGACTGCAATTGCTCATTACACAAAGGCGTTGGAACTTGACGATGAGGATATCTCGTATCTAACTAATCGGGCTGCGGTGTATTTGGAGATGGGAAAGGTATGGTGTGGTTTGGTCTCATATTTTCTGAAACTGATTTTTCAATGTCTTTGTATGCTATTTCCAAGTTATATGATGTCTTGCAAATTGAATGGTGCATTTTTTTTGGATGTTAATGGATAATTTTACTTGTTCTAGTACATTGTTTTTAATAAGTAGGGAAGGACTGCTAATCAATTTCTATCATGCTTCAAGTTCTTAAAATGTTTGCATGATTTTCTATATAATCCCTGCTGTTGGCATGAATATAATGTGTCAAGAGCTGTTAAATTGTTAGATTTTGGAAAAGCATTGGTTGGTGCTAATGTTGTGTGCGCCTGTTTTCATCGACTGTATCGGAAGGAAATATAAGTAGTTGTTGAGTTAATGGGTTAATGGAAAGAGGAAATGAAGGTAGGGAGTATAGCTAAGAGATAAAAAGTGCTTAGGGGAATAAAATATAAAGATAATGCATCAAGGAAATAAAAAGTAAATTCAACAATTTATTTGTTCCTTGCTTCATTAGAAGGAAAGTTTGAATTTTGTGGATGTGTGACGTTGTAAATCAACTTCATTTTCTTCCCTCTTTTTATTTTCACTTTTTGACTTTGGTGAAGTAGTTTTTACACTCCCATTTTTCTTTTCTTTACTTGCCCTCCTTCCAAGGAAATTGTGATTGTGTGATTTGCTAAGCACTTGATAAAGTAGTCGAGGTGGAACTTGCATTATATAATTTGTTGGTTCCTTTATATTCCTTTCTCTAATGTACTATTTTGTCATGCAGTACGAGGAATGTGTTAAAGATTGTGACAAGGCTGTTGAGAGGGGTAGAGAGCTTAGATCAGACTTTAAGATGATAGCAAGAGCTCTGACTAGGAAGGGAACTGCTTTAGTGAAAATAGCTAAATGCTCCAAAGACTTGGAGCCTGCTATTGAGACTTTCCAGAAAGCTCTTACAGAGCATCGCAACCCAGATACCTTGAAGAAACTAAATGAGGCTGAGAAAGTGAAAAAGGAACTAGAGCAGCAAGAGTCTTTTGATCCAAAGATAGCTGATGAGGAGCGTGAGAAAGGTATTTTATTTTAACTGCTCCATCCCAATGCTTTTGAGTGTAACCCAAGCATAATGAAAATACCCTGAATCTCAGTGCAATACATTTACTCCATGTTGAAGTGAGGAAAATATATGGCATTAATTGAACCTTTCTGTCATGTTTATCTGCTAATTGCTTCCCTCGTGGTGTTTGAATATATGTAGGGAATGAATACTTCAAGCAGCAGAAGTATCCAGAAGCTGTTAAGCATTATTCTGAAGCAATTAGAAGGAACCCTAACGATCCCAAGGTAAGATGTTTTCTTTCTATTTCTGGTTTAATTTTTGCCTTGAATGTTTGTAGCTTATTAGATGTAATTATGTATCTTGGTTTTTTAGGCATACAGTAACAGAGCTGCATGCTACACAAAACTTGGTGCATTGCCAGAGGGACTCAAAGATGCTGAGAAGTGCATTGAACTTGATCCAACCTTCTCTAAAGGTTACACAAGAAAGGGTGCTGCTCAGTTCTTTATGAAAGAGTATGACAAGGCTTTAGAAACATACCAAGAAGGGCTGAAGCATGACCCTAATAACCAGGAATTGCTTGATGGTGTCAGGAGGTATGGAGCTCACCACTTGATGATTTACTTTTTCTGCACAGCCAAGTTAGTGCATTACTTAATCTTTGCTCTCAATCAATTTGCAGATGTGTAGATCAGATTAACAAGGCTAATCGTGGTGATTTAACCCCTGAAGAGTTGAAGGAGAGACAGGTAAGCAGTTTTCTTCTCACAAACTCTTGTTGAGATAGACTTCTGAAAGCTATTCTGGATGCAGTTATAATAGAAGTCTGATGTTGCAGGCCAAGGCAATGCAGGACCCTGAGATTCAGAACATTCTTTCTGATCCTGTTATGAGACAGGTTAGGATTGAAATTTTTGGTTGCTTGATCATCAGTACTTGTAATGTGGTTTTAGTATATGTTATAACTTAAAACAAATTGGTTAAAACGAATTGGGTATTGGGCAGGTGTTGATTGATTTCCAGGAGAATCCAAGGGCGGCACAGGAGCACACCAGGAATCCCATGGTAATGAGCAAGATCCAAAAGCTGGTAACTGCTGGAATTGTCCAGATGAGATAGAATGTAAAAAAACTTCTTCTTCTTCTTCTTTTTGTTTTTTTTGTTTTAAATTCAGTCCATTGTACTTTGCGGTTTGACTTTGAGTGTATTAATTTATCAAACTCAGTTGGAAATTTTGTTAATTTGGTTAATGTTAGTTTCGTTCATTTGGTTTGAAAATTTACAATTAGGTCATCGGCTCATCATGAAAAACGGCTGGCCAGTTTGTTACGTTATGGTATTCTATGATTGTATTTTGACAAACAGAAGATAGCCATGATCCGACCACTAGTTTTGGGATAAATGTGCGATTCCCATTCCTTAAATTGAACACCCCAACCTCCAGCAACAGCCAGTCACAGTATGTGCATCAAACTGAAGCTCCATGGCTTCTGGAAATTTTCCAATCATGTGAACTGTCGTTGCTTGGCGCTCTCTCACGTTCCTAAGTTAAGGTTTTCTCTCTCAATGGCCGAGAAGGTATGTTGAGATTGTGGATGGCAGCTTTACGTT